TGGAACTGGTGACATTATGCAAATGATCGCGAGTGAGACAAGTGATCAAATCAACGGCAGCAGAACTGTTAGATGCTCATGTGTTTTGCTCGTGGAGCTTGTTTTGCCAATGTTGATCTAAAAAGCAGAAGCTTTCTTGCTTCATGTTCAACGGGAGAAAAGAAAAGGTAGCTTTCTGAGACCTTGATATAGCATATTTCCCTCTGAAAGTTAATTTCAAAGCTGCAAAACAAAGCTCCTGTGGACATCCGAGAGCTCTTCTTGTCAAGCACAAGCGGGGAGTTGTTACTTTAGCAAGCAGAAATACGAAATAACTTCTCACCACGAATGGGAGGAGAGCTTTCTATTTGACAATGAAAGCATGGCAGCTCTCTTTCTCTTGACAAGAAAAGAATGTTGCAAGCAGGACCAAGGAAACTCCTGTGTGACAGTTAAAAGCCCTCGAGCTATTTGACCGGATCTCCACTCGTCTTCCCCAAAAGAGATGGGTCCACTTCGCTGTTTGCTTGTTGTCCAGAAATTGGCAGGGTCTCTTTTTCAGACGAACCGGTGTGCAGGTTTTGTTTCAGTGAAAGCTGTAAATGCATGCGGGAGTTTGCTTTTATTACCAGCTATGGGGTCGATTACCGCAGCATCTCGCAACTCGATGAAAACATTAGAGACGCTGCAGCTGAAAGATGGAAAAGCAAGACAAAAAGGTGGCCAGGCGTAGATGTTGGGAGAGGGCGCGGGCATGTGTCTGTATTGAACTATCACCAACCAAATACTTTAAGCGTTTTACTATGTACTTTTTACTCTATGCGACCTTCTATATACTATATACTACCTTCTAAAAGAATATATACTAGAAACTACCTTTTAAAAAAGAATATATACTACATACTAGTGGCCCCCTGCTCTCGAAGCGGTGCCCTCCCCGAGTTCCTGCGCCCGGTGCAGGCTCCATCGCTCCAGCGCGCCTTGGCCGGGCTTTAGATTCAGTGCTCCTTGATACTCGGATGACCATGGGACTTAGTAAATAGGTGTTATAAGTTGGGGTTTAGGGGCCCCTTTAAGGGATCCGTAGGGGTACTACAAGGGTGTAAGGTCGAGGGTAACTGGAGGATCATGGGACTTAGTAAGTAAGGCTGTAAGTACCCTAATTGGGGTCATAAGTAATTATAAGTCTAGTTACCTTATTTATAACCCGTCCCATGAACCTCTAAGTAGCCTGAACTGCCGTCAGCCGCGCGGCTATCCGGGCTTGGGGTTTAGGGTTTAGAATTTCAGGGTTCGGGGCTTGGGTTTGATGCTTATGGCAACAATGCTTAAGCGCCGTCAGCCCCAGAATATTGCAATTTTCAAGTCGTCGCACGGAAAGATCAATGGACGTATGAGTTCAGTGCAATAATACAGGCGTAAAAATTACGAATGATAGCAGTGATAATGATGCAATACGAATACTGGCAGCAGTAATAGTGGTAACAGCACCAGGTACAGTTGTAACAAAAGTAGAAGTACAAGGTGGCAGCATCGTCCTTGTCGTACTAGTAGTAGGAGTAGGAGTAGGAGCAAGAGTAGGAGTAGGAGTGTAGGAGCAGTACTGCTAGAAATTACAGTTACAACAGCCCTAAACCCTAAACCTAAACCCGACCTCCAGCACCGCTAGCAGATCCTAAACTCCCCCACAAGGGCCCAGACGCGCGCCCGGCCCGGCCACCTGCCGACTGACAGCTTCTCGACCAGTTTCGTTTAGGGTTTAGGGTTTAGGGTTTAGGGCTGTAGCGTTAAGTAGTCTTTTCTGATTAATGGGTCTTTGGGAATTCCACGTTCAGCGATGTTTATGGAGGTTTCAAACTAAAGGGCTTCGTAGAGTTCTGCATAAAGTGAGGGTCTAGAGTCCAAGGTTTAGGGTTTCAGGGCCCTCAAGCATACATACACACACACACACATATATATATATATACATACACACATACATACATACATACATACATACATACATACCTACATACATATGTTTATATATATATATATATGTATATATATATATATATATATGTATATATATATATATGTATGTGCGTTTTTTTTGGTTGGGGCTTGCAGTAGTTTGTGATTTGGGAAAGCATAACTTGGTTTCGGGGCTTTGGGGCCTCTACTTGGACGATCGTGGGACTTAGTAAATGGGGTTGCAAATAAAGTAACTATAGTTTAGGGTTTAGGGTTTAGGGTTTAGGGTTCAATAACTGCTTGCACCTCCAATTAAGGAACTTATACGTAGCCTTATGTACTACGTCCCAGGGTCCTCCCGGTAAGCCTTTGAGTCTTTTGGTCTGAAGGTTCCAGGTTTGCAGTTTGGGGTATTCCGTGAGTAGTTGATTCGGATTTGTGGGTTTGGAACCTAAGTTCAGCGAAAGTTTGTCCGGAGCTGCCCGGCCGGATGATCTTGCTAGGCGCAGCGTGGCTTCCGGTTCTCAACCCCTATAGCTCCCGACCCTCAGCCTCTCTAGGGGCGGAGGCCTCTGGGGTTTCCAGGCCCTCCAACCCTACGCCCCTTCACCACCTGAACCCCAAAACCCCAAACCACCCCAAACTGGGAGGAGCCGAGCCTTAAAACAAAGCCCCTAAACCCTAAACCCTAAACCCTAAACCCAAAACCCAAAACCCTAAGCCCTAAGCCCTAGACCCTAGACCCTAAACTCTAAACCCTAAACCCTAAACCCTAAACCCTAAGCAGCCCTAAACTCAGCCGTCTCTGCCCTCCGCTCGAGGATGGCGCGCCCCCGAGACCGCCAGGAGCTCCAGCCGCTGGAAGCTCAAAGCAGGGCTCAGGCTTTTGCCATACCTTGCTTAGAGGTTCAGGGTTCAGGGTTCAGGGTTCAGGGTTTAGGGTTTAGGGTTTAGGGATTAGGGTAGCTATAACTGGGGTTAGAAGTAGCATAACCATACTTATAATCCATATTCGGGGACTTGTAGCCCCACTTATAACTAGCCACGAACCTCCAAGTGGGTTAAAGAGTCCATCTATAAGGGTACTGTATGGGGTCCCTTTGAGGGATCTGTAAGGGTACTACCTGGCTTTAGGGTTTAAGGTATAAGAGGTATTCAAGTAAGTACCCCCTTCATCACAGAACAGGACAACCCTAAACCCTAAACCCTGAGCCCTAAGCCCTAAACCCTAAACCCTAAACCCTAAACCCAAAGCCGTAAGCCCTAAACCCTGAACCCTAAACCGTGGGGCTCTGTTTCAGCTCAGGTCGGGGACACCGCCATCGCAGCCCTCACGGTGCGGGGCACGGGTACACTTTCGAGGTTTGAGAGTGCTTGACGGATCTGACGAAGTTGGGAGGGTTCAGGGGTTTAGCCCCTAAACCCTAAACCCTAAACCCTAAACCCTAAACCCTAAACCCTACGGGTTTGCGGGTTTAGGGTACCTGAGTTTTTGGGATCCTTTCTCGCATCCAGCCGGGTTCCATGGGGCGAAGCCGATTTTTTGCTTTGCTTCGCTGCGGTCTCGGAGATGCCATGCAGAGCCGAGCCGAACCAGATCCCAAACTCCGAATCCTGCACCCCCAACCAGAAAAAAAAAGCCTGCAACCCAAAACCTGAACCCTCAACCCTAAACCCCAAAAACCCTAAACCCCCACCCCTAAAATCTAGGACATTTTCAGCTGGGTAGTTACCGTTATAGGAGCCTTAGAGAAGGTCTATATACCTTATGGAAGCCTTATAGAAGCCCGATATACCCTAAACTCCCCACCTGTAGTTTCCTCTAAACCCTAAACTCCAAACCCTAAACCCTAAACTCCCCACCTGTAGTTTCCTTTAGCTACAGCCCCCCCAAAAGGGGAGCTGCGCTCTGCTCAGGTCGACGGCGGTCCCGCTCTCGCAGACGTAGGCGGCGAGGCCGAGTCTCACATAGTCCTGTAAGGGCTTCTATACGGGTTTCTTTTTAGGGTTTATAGGGTTTATAGGGTTTATAGGGTTTAAATGGTTTATAGTGTTTATAGGGTTTAGAGGGTTTAAATGGTTTATAGTGTCTATAGGGTTGTATAGTTTAGGGTTTAGGGTTGCATCAAGTCGAATCTCATTATCAGGGCGTTTGTCGGTGTTAGTGGGTTTATCTAGGGTTTCGGTACGGGTTCCTATGCGGGTTGTGAAGGGTTCTGCAAGGGATCTTTAGGGGTTTAGGGTATCATTAGGAGCCTTAATCATGAGACTACGGTTTTGGGGTAGATTATACGGTGCTCACAAGATAAGAAGGAGCTCAAAAGCCAGATTCTAAATCTTCAGGCACCTTGCAGTGTGGAGTGCATCCGAATCTCAAAGGCTACCCAAGTGCGACAGCCCCCCAAAACCCAAGCCCCAAACGCGTTTAGGGTTTAGGGGTTTAGGGTTTAAAGGTTTAGGAGCTAAGGGTTTAGGGCCGCAAAATGCCGCAAACTCCAGAACCCAACCTGCAAACCTTGCGGGTGTTCGCGTAACTGCCTTTTCACCGTCCCAACCACCAAGAGGTCTTTTGCGAACATGAGGAGTACGGACCATGCATAGTAGGATCCTTGGGCCCACCTCCAGGTAGATGTTCCCGGCATATGTGAACTCGGAAGCCGCAAGAATTGATATCCAAGCCTAAACCCCGACGCTGCCAAGGCATGTTGAGTCGCCAATGTCTCCCTAAACCCCGAACCCTTACCCTAAACAAACCCTGTTCCTTTAACCTAAACCCCCTGAACCTTAAGCTAGTTTGTAGCCTCTGAGTCATCAGCCAAGCTACGATCGACAAAGGATATCTTTCCGCGGTGCGAAGATTACCCCTAGGAGGTTCAGGGTTTAGGTGTTAAGGTTTCAGGCTCAGCGCCCACATCCCGGAACTTCGGAATCGCAACGGGCTAGCACAGAGACGCTTGCTTCGCTTTACTTGGTGTGGAGAGTTGGGCGGCTCCGCCTTTTCGCAAAGCGTCAGGATCAGAGTCCAAGCTGCTTCAGAGTGGAGCACCATCGGCACGAAACGTTGCGGCATGTGGAAGACCCTCTGTCTTGCGCTCCTGTGCACCGCAGCTGGTGACGAGTTCCTGAGCCGCAAAGGAGCCACGAGGGCCAGGTGCCTCCTCCAAGGCTGGGCGAACAACGCGCGCCCTGGCAAGTCTCAGCGAAGTTGCAAGAGACGCCTGATTAATGAGGTCTTTCATGTCGTTGCATGTCAAGTTCAGAAGGCTATAGGGTTTAGCGTTTTGGATTTGGTCTGCGCCGTACAGAGCAGCACAGCCTTGGAAAAATAGGCCAAGCCCTGCAAGCGGTCCCTGTCAACCCAGGCAAGCGAACGACCTTGTGAACGTGGCCCAGGATTGCTTCACACCGCAGACGAGCCCAGGATGACTTTGAGCTTGCCATCCAGTGCTCTCTTTAACCCCATAGGCTTAGGGGTACTTAGAAATTATTTTTAATCTTTGGCTACTATAAACCCTAAGAAGCAGCTAAAATTATAATTTTTGCTAGGGGTCTAAGTTCAGTATAGTAGGCCCTGAAAGCGCTTTCGTGGATTCTTCCATGAATGCTGTCGGCATCTAAGCGGTACTTGGTCTATCTGAGGACTGCAAACACTAGGACCCTAAATGTTAAGCCCAAGCCCAACCAAAGCAGACCCTAAAAACCGAGCTTTACAGCCCCCCCTAAACCCTACACCCTACACCCTAAACCTTAAACCCTACACCCTACACCCTACACCCTAAACCCTAAACCCTAAACCCTAAACCCCCAAGCCCCAAACTTCCAGAAATCCCAAAAAAAGCCCAGGGCAGCCAGCAGCTCCAGCTCCGAAGGAGCGAAGTGCCCCGGCCAGTGCCCTGAGCTCAGCGCTGCCATGGGCTGCGTGGTGAGAAAACTCGAGCAGCTCTGGGGTTGGAGACCGGTGCCTTGGCCCTTTAGGGGCGTTTTGGGGGGGGAGGTTTAGGGGGTTTAGGGGGTTTCGGGGGTTTAGGTGGGTGTAGGGGGTTTCGGGTTTAGGGGTTTAGGGGCGTCTTAGGGGGGTTTTGGGGGGTTTCGGGGTTTGGGGGGTTTTGGGGGTTTTGGGGGGTTGAGGCCGTCTGTGGAAAAACT